GCTTCTACAGTCCATCTCAAACGGCTCTCCAAATCGCAAAAACTTCTGGTTTGTTTCGACTACTACCGTGACTTTGGCCATTATCATCCTCACTCGACCACCACCACCGGCTGTTCTACAGTCCATCTCAAGATGGCTCTCCAGATCTCAGAGACTTCCGGTTTGATTCGACCACTATCATGACTTTGGCTATCTTCATCCTCACTCGCATCTGGTTTAGGTTTGATCTGCTACATATGGCATTGTGCATTGAACAAAGATGATACAGTCGAAGAAGATGTTTAGATTCTACTTTTGCTTCATATACGCAACATAACATAGCATATTCTCATAAGAAAATGTTTTCATTTCAAAGTTCAACAACACATTAATATCATTATCATTATCTGGGAACTAAGCTTTTGATGTTCAAGATAAAAAGTAAATGTCAAGCTGAGTTTAAAAAACCAACATAACGACGACTCAGACAGAAGCAGTTGTGACGTCTTTTACAGACTGACGCCAAGCGTATTCACGAGCTCCGTCTTTGTCGACAATCTTGATCACAAAGTTTGGTGGTGCAATGACCAGCCTTGACCTGATTTCGAGTATGCATTTGTCGACCAATTCAATGGCTTCTTCAACAGACATGTCGTTGCGGTAGTGCCTGTCCATTGTTGAGAGAGAGAAGTATGACCCATAGCCGAATGCTCCCTTGTCAACTTTGTGAAGAGTTGCAATGTAGTCAATGTAGTATAGAGATGCGCCTGCTTCTTTGTCGTAGCCAGCCATCAGGATGTTCACAGAATACGGATTCTGGAATCAAACAGAACAAACAGCAATGAGAAATCTAAAAACGAATAAGTGCGAATATTCAGGCTACTCATAACCACACAACGAAAAGCAAAAATGAGGGGAGGGATCCAATTGTTATAAAAATAACTAACAGAGTTTCTTTCATAGGTAATGCAGTTTACATTATCAATCTAAAGCAAAGGCCACACCAAAGGTTTATCAGGATATAATACCCCTCAACATATCTTAAAGTTGGAAGATTCGACCCAAAATTGCGGCCAAAAAAAATTACACACATGAGTTTTTAATTTTCATAATCAAGTCACATAAATCAGAGTAAACAAACTTACTAGTCTTGTAAATTCTTATTCAAAGCCATGACGATTACTTATCAAGCTTTCACATAAGGAAACTATCACTTTAAATTTGAGTCTCATCTTTTTGGCCAAAAAATCCATCATGATTCTAAACTCTTTTACTTCAACTACATAGAAGCACGGAATGAGAAAGTTACTTGCATTTACAAAACTGCAACAATGTTCTGAAACACAACAAAGTGTGGAATAATCTCAATCCTTTGCTAAAATTTCTTATATGTTTACATATTGAACAGAACACACAGATATTCTTCCAATTGCATCGAACTAATTTGAGGAATAACAAAATATTTTAGTGAGAGGGTTTAAGTTTTAAACTCATAGTTGGAACCTCATAACCACTTAAGCAACACAATAGTTCTACACCGCAGCATTTGGTGGAGAGGAAGTGAAACCCAAGAACATAAGGGCTTAAGCATATCAACAAGCATTAACTATTAGAAACCATAATACTAGCACAAAATCACAGCATGACAGAGAAAAGTTTCATTCCAATAACTCAATAATACACAAGTTCAGCTAAATTGCATCAAAAGAGGGTAATAAGCCCTAAACCCTAATTCCCAAATCAACATACATACTCCAAATCATCAGTGAAAACAAGACCAAATTCCAAAATAAAAAAAAAAAAAGCCCTAGAGGAAGAGTTAGAAAAGAACCCACCTTTCTCAAAGCAGTAGCGAGCTCACCACGAGTGAAGTTAGCTGCAGCAGCTGTTGTCAAAGGGATCCCATTTCGAAACTGATACAATGAAACATTCTTCTGAACATACTCCGTAAACTGAACCCTATCAAACCCCAGAAACACGAATCAAAATCAAATCTACTGATCACACACAGAGACAGAGAGAGAGAGGCGGAGGAGTGTGGGTTTACCGGTCACCAGGCTCGCCGCTTGCGGCGATTAGCTTGTGAGAATCAAGTGCCATGATCTTGTCTTCGTTGTTCTTATGAAGAAGGATACTGTGAACTGCCGATGTATCCGCCGCAACGATCGCGAATCCATTCCCGACGAGACCGAATACACACTCCATCTTCTTTATCTACTTCAGATCTGTTTCGTCAAAACCCAAATTTATCAAAGTTTTCCTTCGATATAAGAAC